GAAGGGACTCAAGCACAAGTGCCATGAGGAGAGGCTGAGGGAGTTGGGATTGTTTAGCCTGGAGAAGAGGAGGCTCAGGGGAGACCTTATGGACCTCTACAACTCCCTGAAAGGAGGTTGTAGTCAGGTGGGGGTCGGTCTCTTCTCCCAGGCAACTAGCAGTAGGACAAGAGGGCATAGACTGAAGTTCTGCCAGGGGAGGTTTAAGTTGCATATTAGGAAGATTTTTATGGAGAGAGTGACCAGGCATTGGAATGGGCTGCCTGGGGAGGTGGAGGATTCACCATCCCTGGAGGTTTTCAAGACGAGACTGGATGTGGCACTTAGTGCCGTGGTCTAGTAACCACAGTAGGGTTGGACTCTATGATCTTTGAGGTCTCTTCCAACCTGGTTGATTCTATGATATACTTATCCAAAGGGTTTATACTGTACTTATAAATTTATTCTCTGTCTTTTCATGGTTTAACACAATCCCAAAGAGTTCACTCTACCTCTGCAATTCATATTAAAAAAAAACCTTTTTGGATCAAGTATAGCAAATTTACATTTAACACATACACACACACACTTGATGGCCGTATTTTTAAACATAGATGAAACTTATCCAAAGTGACGGTTGCAATTTCATCAATGATTTGCAGATTTGGATCTACAAATACACTGAGAGCAAAACCTGGATACCTTGCACCAACTACGATGTCACCATTGTCCAATACACAGCAGCACCATACAGACTGAGCCGGGAGTCTGATTGTTTGAGCACATTCCCCTTGTTTCCAGATTCTCAGAGATCTATCCTCTCCAGTAGTTACAAAATCTGAAAATAAAAAAAAATAAGAACTTTTGAAGTATATTTTTAGTGTACTGTGATCCTAGATGCCATTCTGCAATTGGTTTTCTAAAAATCTTAACAGTAAAACAACCTTTCTACAATTTAATACTCCTCAGAATTGCAAGAGAGTCAAAAGAAATCCACTGCTCATTTGTCTTCTCAAAAAAAAAACCCAAACTGCATAAATTGCAGACTAAGGATCCAGAAAGGGAATGAAATTATGCCCAATATAAACAAAGATCCCTTCCTCCTTCCAAGAATTTAAATGAAGAACTTTGAACAGTTTTGTAATCATCATTCCTTTTTAAAACATACACATCCATTAATATATGTGCACTTTACCTGTTGAACAAATGCACAAGTGTCACATATGCCACTCAAAGGTCACTGACTTAGAACTTCTTCTGCAACTGACTGCAACAGTTAGTTCTGAATCTCTAAACCTCTAACTCCAAAAACAAATACAAGTAAGCTTCATATATATAATTCTTAATCTAAACTATTTATAATGCACATTGTGGATGTACCTACATTTATATTCTCTCAAACTGTTAAGCCACACATTGCAGAGTATTTTACTACTCTGCAACAGTACTGAAACACAGGTGGCAACTTAGATGACAGTTTTGCCTATTGCTCCACCAAAGTTTCACTTAAGCCTTCCGTTAGGCCTAAACCAGGACCTTTTATCTCACATACTGCTGGAGAGACTCTGACAGAGGTGTGATTTGGAATCAATCACAGTGGTTTTTTAAAAATCTATTTACACTCAATGAAAGAAGTAAATTGTTAACTGATCTCTAGTTGTGGCAGCATCACAGAACTACAGAATACCTATCTTGTCATTCCATTTTGGAAGACTGTTGGGTCATAGTCACAGAAGTAATCCTACCTTTACTTTGAGGGAAGACAGAGATGCTGTATATATAATTTGTATGTCCATAATACACCTGAAGACACTCGCCAGAGATCTGCCATCTTCGAACACTAGCATCATTAGCACAGGAAAGGAATTCCATTTCACTGAGAATAGCAAGTCCTCTCACACAATCTTCATGTCCTTTATGAAAAAAAGGAAGAAAGTCAATGCAATTTTTCTCTCCATTAGCAGCAGTATAGTATTTCTATTTGGCCCTCATCTAAATCCAGGCAATCTCTTCATTTGGGAAACAATTAAAAATAAGAGGCAAACACAACTAATTCCTTGTAATTCTCTGAAAAAAATTGGTTTTTTAAAAGTCATGTAACTTTTGGGTGTACAACTTGACACTTTAAAAATCTTGCCTAAAAATTGTTCAGTTTATCCATGGTTTTGTAAATGAAATTATCAACTGCAGCAACATTTACCAGTGAATGTTCTTTCACATCTGCCCGCCTTCCAAAGTTTTATAGTTTTGTCCGCTGAACCAGTCAACATTAATCCCTGTTCAGGAAGTATTTTCACTGCCCATATTGCAGCTGTGTGACCCTGCAAAAAACCCAACATTGTTAGACTTCACCAAATAAATTCAGAGTACCTTTTTTATATTCATGTAGAGGAACTTCTTACCTGTAATGTCATCATACATCTGTCGTTTAACCAGACCTTGGCTGTTGTATCCCATGATCCACTTAATAATGTGCCAAATTTCCCAGATGAAAGGCTGCAAACTGGAATGAGCATTCAAGTCAGCACTGACAAGTGTCCTGCACTGCCATGCATCTTATGTCAGCAATTAAAAGAGATTTATTTAAGAAGATTTACTTGGTATTAGTAGCATATTTAGTGTTGAGGAGTCTGAGGAAGAATTAAATGGAACTGTAGTTGCACTGCAACCTAGAAGGAAGCTGCTTAGAAATCTCTTAATTTTAGGTCACAAATCTTTTTGCCAGTTGTATTTTTAAATTTCTCTCAGTACCAGATCTCATCTCCTCAAGACTCGAATACGATGACAAATAGGTTAGATAACAAGTCAAGACAGAATTAGTGCAAAGGTTTAGTTTCAAGATGTCAGATAAAGCCAAGTTTTTATCAACAGGTATTATTCGTGTCCTCAAGAAACAAGAATGTCATATGAAAACTACTTAGCCCATCTTATTGGAAGGCAAAATACTACCTCCCAGGAACTGTGGTGACATTTAAAGATTTAGGAAGAAGATACCCTGCAAATGCTCCAGTAATGTAGTAAAGCACCAACTAATATTAGATCCCCACCTAAGTAACAAAATGGGCAGAAAAAGTTTATTTAGGAGGCTGACATTTTCTACTACTACCAGCTTTGACATAAAAACTAGACTTAGTACATGGAGGACTAAATTAACTGCTACTTTAAAATTAAACTCCTGGCAAAAGGGTAAATTGCCATGAGTTCACAAACACAGTAAAAGTTCAAACATTCACCAGGGTAAACTTGTCAGTCCTTGCAATGAATGGTCACTGCATGAATTAAGATTATAAAACCCTATGCATAGAAGCCATAATTAAATAGTTTGCTGCATTATATACCAAATAAAGTTGAGTTTTGCAACTTCAACTTAATTTCCTCTCAAATTTAATCTTTTATTAAAGTCATGTTAAATTTTATACAAAAAAACCTATGAAACAAAATTACTACATACCTGTGTTTTTATGACCCTTAAGGATGTAAAGAGGAGCTGAGTTGTCAACTGTGAAAATGCAAATATTATGATCATTGCCACCAGTTGCAATCAGCCCACGAGGATAGAGTTCACTTGGAGGTATGATGCACACACAAGATACAAAATTTGAGTGGCCGCTCATGCAGTGCATTTCAGTAAATCCCCTGTTAAAACTAAATATATATGATAATCAGTTCAGAGTCATGACACAAACAGTATTTATCTGAGTAAATTACAACTTGAATTGATACGATTGCATTGCACTGAATAAATACTACATATGTTCTAGAAAGAATGAGAAACTTCAGAGAAAAATTGTATCTCAACATTCCTACCCATTACACAATACCTATAGTTTTCTACTTATTTTCGAGAAATGGTAGGTCTGGAAGGGCTTAAGTTTTGGTTTTCCTGCTCACTCACAAACACTTTGCCAATTTGATCAGAAATAGTTACAGTTTGCCTTTATGAAATCATTTGCTGTCTCAACACTCAAATATGTAACACCATGCAGACTAAAATAAAAGCACACAAATGGAGAAAGTTTGCTGTCTGACAAATCTATTCACTGGGTCTTTATAAGGAGCACTGTAGAGGTTTAATACTGAAACAGATCATAACTCATTCAAGCAGCACCCTCATTTTTTGATCCTCAGCCAACCTCAACAGTTGTAGCACAAACTGGAAAAAGCTGCTTATTCCCACAGAATACACATGTAGGTTGTGGTGCTGTGCATAATGTTTGTTTGGGGTTTTTTTCCTATATTTGTTCCTCCACCCTCAAAAAACACAACATGTCATATCATACTGTCACTCTTCATACTCTAACGCTTGAAAAGCTCAAAATATGCAAGGAACAGAGAACAAATAAAGGCAAGGTATATTCCTGGAGAATCTCAATAACAACAACAGCATTCAGCAGTTTGCTTACTCACTGAACCCAGAGTACTGTAACTCCAGAGTCTTCAAAGCAGAGAGAGATAATCATTACCAACACTATGACTCCACGTAAGTTACTCACGTCTTCCTCACATAGTCCTCAAATTTCTGCTGCAAATTTCTGTGCAATTTCACAAGTTCTTTCCCTTGTGATGACAGAACTAACCAGACAAACTTAATGAGACTAATCTTCCTTCACCTCGACTGCAGAGCTACAGAGATCAACGTAAAGACACATGCAAGCATTCAGCAAATCTGCCAATTCGGGTTCGCTGGAAGGCAAGAGAGAACACTCATGCCTAGAAACTTCAGAATGCAGTCCACAATCTGAAGCTATGGACAGGGGAGAAGATATATTCTTGCAATGCCCTGCATCTCCACCATCTCCTGTTCACACTGCTCAGCAGTACTGCTCCTGGTCACAGTGACACTCTGAAAAATTCGCTTTCTGAATTCAACAAGACAAATGCAGTAGAACACAACCTGTGCAACATGACTGAGTATCAGAAAAACCAATACTGGGGGTGGGTGTTTTTTCCATTTTTCAATGCCCTTGTATATTTAAACTTTCTGTGCAGTTTTTAGTTCGTATTCCATTTTATGTTCAAAGAGGCTTGCTCAGCAAGGCCAAGAAAAGATGGGGCAATTAAGTACCCACAGCATACCGCCTGTCAAAACCGGCATTGCTCCTTAGCGGGATTACTTTGGCATTTAACACCAGGAGATGGAAACAACATCATTGATACCACCTGGAAAAGCAAGACTCCTGAATTTCCTGACATTATTAGCATCTGAGAAGCGCGCTACAACATCGACTAATTCAGATATCCTAGCTAACAGCTGAAGCAGAGACAACCTGCCCCCACAGCAGGCACAGCCACGCACAGACGCCCCCAGCACCGAGGCTCCCACCGCCCACGGCC